TTGCACCAGGATGTGGTGGGAGGGCAGCGAAACTCGCAGGACGCTGCCCCCATCAGCACAATGACGGTTGGCCACCCCCGAGTCTTGACGATGGCGCTGCAACTGAGGAGGCGCGACGGAGACCTCCACAGGTGCGGCACGGAGCTCGCCCCAGAGGTCACATTCACCTTGTCTCCGGCGGTTGAGTTCGAGCTCCACAATCAGGACGAGCAGTGGCATCCGCGAACGGTCAAGAAGACGGAGGACACGCCGGAAGGAGTTGTGTTGGGTTCGTACCTCCATGGCATGCAGGACCAGCTGCAGGGTCACAATGCGTCATGCGGGCTGCTTCGGCGCCCACTCAACACCGCGGCAGAGGTCAACTCACACACGCACATGGTCATCATGTCAAAGGCGGAGAAGCAAGCGTACACGCAGCGCTACCTGTCCAAACAGACTGGAAAACAGACCGGCAACAAACGTGCCGCGGGGGGGGGGAACGAGCAGACCAAGATGTTCAACGGTGCCCCGGCCGGTTTCGAGGATGGAGGGCGAACCGCACAGGAGTGCTATGAGTTCGCGCGGTCAACTTGGAAGGAGCTCGCACCCAGGTGGGCAGATGAGATCAAGCCTCTCCTTGAGCAGGCCGTCAAGGAGTGGTAGGTAGTAGCGAAGAGTGGAGAGTACTCTGGTTTACCTCTTTTTTAGCAGAATGCTCTCACGTAAAAAGACATGCAAAAGGGGGGAGCAGGACGGTGGCACGGCTCGGCTTTTCTTGCCCTCATGCAGTGCGGGTCGCGAGTCGGCTCACTGAGGGATACACTCTGTCCGGATGACCGCCGCGCCGGACCACGGCGGCGACGCGAGGGTGACGACAGGACAAGACGCCGACCAGTACTGCCGAGACAGGGAGACTCCGCAGCGTGCCACTGCAGGCAACAGGAAGGCAGCGACGGGAGTGCGGTGGCTGCGATTGCAAGCAGCCGAAGCGTCAAAGCCACAGCGCTGCCGCTGTCACAGTGTCGAAACGCCAGCGGAGGATGACGAGAGGAGACACAAACCTCAGCGCCTGTCCCGACACACAAAGATCCACGAAGGCGCGCTTCTGATTCCTTCGATGTGCGGCGAATCCTCAGAGCACAGTGTCGTTCTTGGCAGCGGCACGTCGCGACACTGGCTGGCGCTGTGGGCGTCGGTGAAAGAGCGGCGAAGACGTGTCGATCGACTCGCGTGATCAACCGCATCACTGGCGTGAAGATGAGGTCTGATTCTGGCACCATCGCTTGAGACTTGCCCCAAATGGTACTGGGAACGCATTCACATCTACATGCTGTGAACAAATTGCACTTTCGTCCATAACTAGTGCCCACGTGCTCCTTCCGCCATTTTTCGACGCCGAAATCGACTCCTAAGTATAACCCTTAGATATTCCCTAAGGGGTATTCCTCAGGGTAATCTCTAAGGATATTTCCTAAGGAGAATTCTAAGGAAAATTTCTAAGGATATTTCTAAGGATATTTTCTAAGGATATTTCTAGGATAATTTCTAAGGCGACTCTCCAAGATCAATCGCTAAGGATATTTGTCTCAGAATATTGGCTAAGAATATTGTCTCAGGATATTGTCTTAGAATATTGTCTTAGATATTTGGCTAAGAATATTGTCTCAGGATATTGTCTTAGAATATTGTCTTAGATATTTGGCTAAGAATATTGTCTCAGGATATTCTTAGAATATTGTCTTAGATATTTGGCTAAGAATATTGTCTCAGGATATTGTCTTAGAATATTGTCTTAGATAATATTGTCTTAGATATTTGGCTAAGAATATTGTCTCAGGATATTGTCTTAGAATATTGTCTTAGATATTCGGCTAAGAATATATCTTGTCTTAGATATTTGGCTAAGAATATTGTCTCAGGATATTGTCTTAGGATATTTGGCTTAGCAAATTGTCTCAGGATATTTGGCTTAGGATATTCCCTTAGATATTTAACTTAGGATATGGTCTCAGGATATTTGCCTCAGGATATGGTCTCAGGATATTTGGCTCAGGAAATTGGCTTAGGAAATTTTCTCAGGATATTTTCTCAGGATTGGTCTCAGGACATAATCTCAGGATATTTGGCTTAGGATATTTGCCTGACGGTCCAGGCCACCCTCAGGGATGCCTAGATCTGAGGGCAGAAGAGAGAAGATTGAGTGCACACAAAAAGCAGACTAAGCCTCTGGGGGAAAAGGTGTGTAGACCCCAAATCGGGTCCGGACTTCGGACCCGATTACGTGCCGCCTCGCGCGCGCCGCTGCTGCCCTCGCCGGCAGCCGCCGCGGTCGCAGTGCCATCGTGCGGACTGGCGGTCGACTCGCCACATCGATTTCAACTCACGCGACGCGCTCGGCCTCCGCTGGCGGCTGCCGCAAGAGCGGCTGGCTCACGGCAGCGTCTCGCCGGTTGCCGGATAGGAGAGTACAGAACGTCTGGAGTGTAACTGTGTACGTGAGATCGGTTTTGATAACAAGCACGGTCGATCCGTCAAAGCGATACACTCGTTCCTATCTCGCTGGAGGGCTGGCACGGAGCTCTGTGCCGACAAACAGGAAGAGCCGAGCGGCAAGAAGGGCTCGATGGGGAGCGAGAACCGTCAAACGTGCTCACGGAGGTTTCGGAAGTCCACCCTGATGCGGTCGGTTCCCCCCAGGTTTGAACGCGCAGCTCGCAAGACTCGTCGAGCACTCGCAGCCTCTCTGCGCCTCTCATGCTGCCGCTCTGCGGGATGTTCAGTCTTTCCGGAAGATATCGTCGAGTTTTGGAAGCTGCGCGGTCAAACCTGGGCGGAAACAAGAGCGTCACGACGGACTTCAGGTTACACCTCAAGCTCTTCTGACGCTTCTCGCTCCCCATCGAGCCCTTCTTGCCGCTCGGCTCTTCCTGTTTGTCGGCACAGAGCTCCGTGCCAGCCCTCCAGCGAGATAGGAACGAGTGTATCGCTTTGACGGATCGACCGTGCTTGTTATCAAAACCGATCTCACGTACACAGTTACACTCCAGACGTTCTGTACTCTCCTATCCGGCAACCGGCGAGACGCTGCCGTGAGCCAGCCGCTCTTGCGGCAGCCGCCAGCGGAGGCCGAGCGCGTCGCGTATCGATCGAGCTCGCGATCCGGGCCGTGGAGCCCACGAGGAAGACTTCGTTTGCTGGGACGGAGTCCCGACGCTCGCTGCGTCCGCCGGAACTGGGGTCTGCACACCTTTCGTGGCCGCGTCCCGCAGTGGCAAGGTGCTCCAAGTGCTCAACAAACAGAACCCGCGCACCCCCGGGGCTAGGGCTCTCTAGCCCGCAACCCGATCCCGATCATCCGGCCCGCGGGGTGAGCTTCTTAGCTCCTCGGACCTCGCACCTCGGCCCTGGATCGTGGATGTGAGGTTACCGACTGCACTCCAAGTGCTCCAAGTGCTCTCTCGCCGACACACAGGTTCGACCCGGGTAGAAGAATTTTCGAACTAACTCTTCCTCCGACACTGGGCACGGGACTGGCGCGCACTGGCGCTAACAGTAGAAGAATACCAGTTTCACCACTCGCGCGTATTAGAAGAAAATTTCGACCGTGTGTATGTCGGCCCGCGGGTCCCGCGCAGCTGCCGCCAGCTCCACCGTGGAGGCTCCAGCCCAGCAGCCAGCACCGCTGCGTAGCGCGAACTCCCGCTAACGGAATGTCTTAACCCACCTTTCCCTCTCCTGTCTCCTTATGAATTCCTACTCTACCCGCGAGCCCTGCGCTTGCCGGCGCCTCGGCCTCCGGCGCGCGCGCCTCTGGCTCTCCGATTCCTTTCGTGCTAAAACTTTGACGCCATGTCGTCCGCGGTCGTCGCCGCCCCGAACCTTAAAACTGATCTACCGGCAAGTGAGCGGTGGGGAACGCGGCCTCCGCCGCCGCCTCCGCCGCTGTTGGCGGGGGCCGAGCGGCGCTGGCCGCCGCGGCCGCGGGGAGGTCCTGCTCCTGGCTGGCTGCAGCGGCGTCCTGCAGCCGCCTGTCGACCGAAGTGAGGAGCTGCTCGAGCCGCGCTAGCCTATCGGCAAGCAAAGTCCGCCGTGCTCCCTCGGACCGACTTCCTACGGGGGAGCCGCTCGAGCCGCGCTCGCCGCTGCTCAAGCGCGTGGAGCTGCGCCGCACCGCCCCCGTCGCCGCCGCCGCCGCCGCAGCTGGTTGGCGGAATGGTCGCGGCGAGGAGGGGCGGGGTAGACCCGTTGGCGCGCGCCTACGGGCAAGGGCTCCGAGAAGGGTCCGGGACGGGGCGAGGAGGAGCGGGTTGGACCCGCCAGTCCTACTACCGACGGCGGCGTGGCGGAGGGGCGGTGCGAGAAGCGGCCGGTCTCTGGGTCGCGGCAGCAGCCCATCTCCTGCGAAGTAGCCGCCAAGCAAGGGTGGGTGAGCCGAGTCAACCACGAGCGGTCTCTCTGCCGTGCTCTCTGCCGCGGGGTGGTGTGTGGGGGGGCGGCGAGGCGTCTGGACGGCCGTGTCGCCGCGGTGTCCGGGAAGTGTCCGGGAAGTGTCCTGGGAAGGAGCCGTGCGAGCCCTCTCCTGAGTCATGATCGAGATGATGGAGGAGAGGCCGACCACGCCGGTCAGCATCGCCATCGCCCCCACGAGCCGGCCCGCCGTCGAGAGAGGCACGAGATCGCCTGCGCTCAGCCAGTCCAGTCCGCCAGCCTTACTACTCTCGGGCACATCTCGGGCACATCTCGGGCACATCTCGGCTTCAGCTCGCCATACCCCACCGTCGTCACCGTGACCAGCGCCCACCAAATCCCGTCACGCACCTGCAGCCGAGGTGCGGCCGAGGTGCAGCCGAGGTGCGGCCGAGGTGCGGCCGAGGTGCGGCCGAGGTGCGGCCGAGGTGCGGCCGAGGTGCGGCCGAGGTGCGGCCGAGGTGCACCGACTGGAAGGGCGCCAAGCGGCACTCCCCTTCCTCCTCCTCCTCCCCGCCTGGCTCGACGCGGCCCTCGCACTCCGCCCCGGCCACCTACTCACGAGTCGCCAGCTGGGGGGGGGGGGGGGGAGACTCGCACGCCGTACCGCCCCGGCCCGCCCACCCACACGCCGCCGCCGGGCGAGCCGCCCGCCACGAAGGCGCCCGCCTGACGGCGAGGATCGCGGTACGCTGTCCTCTTGACAGAAGGCGCTCTGTCTCGGAAATGTCTCGGTAGCGTCTCGGAAGCGTCTCGGAAATGTCTCGGAAGCGTCTCGGAAATGTCTCGGAAGCGTCTCGGAAATGTCTCGGAAGCGTCTCGGAAGCGTCTCGGAAGCGTCTCGGAAAGCGCAACGCGTAGCCGAGACGAGATGAGAACAGGCGGGCCGAGATGCGCCGAGATCGTACCCGCGCCTCCGCGTGGAAGACGAACCCTCCCAGGACCAGGTTCTGCAGCATGAGGAAGAAGAGAAGCAGCCGCAGCGCGGGCAAGCAGCGGCGGACGCACGCGGCGAGGGCCTTGCGAGAGGCGGGGAGGCGGGCGAGGGGTAGCCGAGAGGTAGCCGCGATGCAGCCGGGAAGCAGCGGCGGACGCGCCAACCTCTCGCCTGATCTCGCCTGATCTGTCCTGATCTGTCCTGATCTGTCCTGAACTCGGCGGATCTGGCCTGATCTCGGCGGATCTGGCCTGATCTCGGCGGATCTCGGGCCTGCAGCTCGGAGGACTCTTTTGCGAAGCGGAGCAGCCGAAGGATGCGGACGAGGCGCAGCACGCGGACCATCGCCAGGAAAGCCTAGGGTTAGGGTTAGGGTTAGGGTTAGGGTTAGACGAGGCGCAGCACGCGGACCATCGCCAGGAAAGCCTGGCGGGCTGGCGAACTAAGGAGTGTGCACTGCTCGCTGGGCGGAGACCGCGGGCCATCGCGGGGAGGGCCTGGTGGGCGGTGGGAGGTGCCTCGGAGGAGTCTCGGAAGTGCCTCGGAGTGTCTCGGACGCGTCTCGGGCGTGCCTGCGGGAGGAAGAAGAGGACGAGGCCGATCCAGAAGGGGAGGATCGCCGCGAGGTCGATGACCATCATCGGCTGCTTGGCGAGGCGCAGCCGCGCCTGCCACCCATGGAGAGTGGAGGAGAGGGCTCAATGAGAAGTGACTCCTCGCGCCTCGCCTCGTAAGGCTGCAGCTCGCCTGGCAGGCGGACGCGGGAGGCGGCTGCCTATAGGGTGTGGCCACGGGCAGGTCATCGGAATGAGCCGGCAACCGCCCAGTTGGGGAGGGCGCGGGCTGCGGCCTCCGCCCGTCCTCCTCCGCCGCCTCGTCGCCACGCCCGTCGGGGGCGACGATGATGCGAGTGATGTACTCTGCCGTGAAGCCGACAGCGACCAGCGCGTCGATGAGCCGCCAGCCGGGCCACGACGCCATCGCCGGCTCGGATTGGAGGACAAAGCAGAGGGTGGAGACGAGGATCGCGCCGAGGATGAGCTACACGCAACAGGGGGTCCTCTCTCAAAAGGCGTCATCACAGCGGCACGTGGGCAGGCTCGGATCCTACTGTGCGCCCGTCGGGTCCGTCACTCTTGATGTGCTAGTCGCTTCTCTCCCAACGTGGTGGAGAATTCTTTTGCTCACCCAGTGCACAACGAGTGCCGCGCGTGACGAGGACGGCCGGTTGAGCAGGTCGTGGATCGCGGCGCGGTGTGTCGGCGCCCGGATGAGCGAGTTGGTAGCGACGGCGCTCGTGAGCGGCGGCGTGAGGTTGGAGAGCGGCGCGCTGCGTAGCGGGGCGCCGACGTACTCGCCTGTTGACATGGGCAACCGCGGCTTCAACTTTGACATGAGAAAACCAGTCTCGGCCAAAAGGGCGGCGCCTCGTTGTGCCGCCTCCGCCTCCATGTGTTGATTGATCACGCCGACGCCCAACCTGAGGGAGGGTGTAGATGATGTGCTCAGAGACGAAAGGAAAATAAAAACTCTTCGCTGACTAACCATCACGCACTCAGCCATGAAATCTATGAAATCTAGCCGTGTGTGCTGGCGTCCGGGTCCCAGCGGGTTTTCACGTAACAAGTACACACTCAGCAATCACAAAGGCAAGGCGATGAGAGACATGGACGCTGGTCCCTCCCGCTTACCCAGCGCCCGACCCCCACCGATAGGTGAGATGTTCCGCCAGGCTGTCGCCGCGCTCAAGAACCCCGATATCCAGGCCCATCGCCCGTCCCCCAGCGCCGCGAGAGCCCACCCTACTCTTCACCCCGCAACCCGCCGCGAGACGCCACCCTAATTTCCTCCACCCCACAATCTCCTCCTCTGCTCAGGTCCCGCTCGCCGGCTCCGCCGCCCTGCTGGCGGTCGGCATCTGGGCGACGGCGGAGCCCACCACCGTGGTCGCCGCGCAGGGCGCAAAGGCTCCCCTCAAGCGCCGCCCGTCTTGGGAGGCCAAGTTCGCTGGCGGGTGGGGCGACACGACCCCCGAGATCGAGGCTCAGCTGACGGCCGCGATGGACAAGATCGGCACGCCGGAGTCGGGCGCAAACAGCCCGTGAGAGCCGATAGGGGCGGGCGATGCACGGCACACCACAGCCAGCCAACGCCCCTTCCTCTAGTAGCCTCAGACTCCCGGGCGGCGCGGCCTCGCTCATGAGCCTAGCCCAGGAGCTGGTGGCCGGGATAGACAGCGATCGAGATCGGCTCACTCTTGGTTGCCCTGTGGGATGCATCCCGGCTCCATCACGTGTAAGCGCACCCACACGCTGCCCCCCTGCGCTCTCTCGCGGCGCCCGGCTCTGGCTCTGCGATGTGGTCGGAGAGCACGTGTGCGGCTGCGCGACACGGTAGGGACATGCAGATGTACATGTGCATGTCGATCCTTTGAAGTTTGATGATGCACTTGTTTATGCACATGCAAACCGAACACACTAATTTACGGTGGATACACAACGTACACACAGGCCGCGACCGCTCGGAGACGACTCAGAGAGGGGGCTGTGTCGTGTCAGCTCCCCGCGTCCCTCCGCAAGTCGATGGTCTGCCCCCACCCCTCGTCCTTGGCCGCCGACAGCGCCAGGATCTCGGTGCTGCCGTCCTCCCTCCTCCGCCCCGTCGCGCTCAGGTTGCACGAGTAGGTCGACGCGCCGCCGTCGGTGGTGAAGATGCCGAAGAAGCGGACGAGGCAGCGCCCGTCCGGCCGCACGCCCGCGCCGAGCACAATCTCGACGCGGAGCAGCGAGCCGAGGCTCGCCTGCAGCTCGCCGCTCGCGCCGACGATGCGCCGCGTCTCGCGCACCGCTACGCGCACTGTCTGGTCGGCGGCGGCCGCGTCGTCGGCGGAGAGCGACTTTGCGAGGTTGGGCGTGATGTCGAGCGTGTCGAGCCCGTCGTCGACGGTGAGGCGCAGCGGCGAGGGGGCGTCGACGAGGAGGGCCATCACCGCGTCAAAGCCCCGCCGCGATACGTCGACGCCCTCCACCGCCAGGAGGCGGTCGCCGGGAGCGATGTCCAGCGCGGCGGCCTGCTCGGCGGCGGCGCCGCCCTCCTGGAAGGAGTCGAAGCGCACCCCGCCGCCGTCGCGCTCCTCGAGCACGATGCCGAGCGGCTTGGCGAGCGTCACGCTCCGCGCGTAGGCGGTGCGCACGCTGAGCGCCGCCGGCGCAGAGCGAGCGCCGCGCGACGGCACCGGCCGCCAGGCTGACAGCAGCGACGTGAGGGAGGTGAGCAGCAGCGGGAGCATTATGTGTGCGCCAGGCGGCGGCGGCTGGGCGCCTGTGATGTGCTACCGACTGCACTCCAAGTGCTCCAAGTGTCGAACACCCCCCAAACAAATAAATTCCCGCTTCGAGCTGAGAGATTTGTGAGTCCTTCGGTAAGCGCGGGTTAGCGCGGGTTAGTGCTCACTAACCCGGCACGGGTTAGCACGGGTCAGAATGGGTTACCATAACCCGGCACTAACCCGGCGCTAACCCGGCGCTAACCCAGCGATAACCCGTCCTAACGTATGCCCCCCGAGCAGCGCGGGTTAGCGCCGGGTTAGTCTCGGGTTAGGTTCGGGTTAGAGCTCTACGGCTCGTTATGCCCCTCTCTCGTGTGTTCACTCACTCGCCACACCACAGCCGCGGGCGCATGGCGAGCGGGACAGTCTCATGCCACAGGATCTATAATGTACCGCCCTCAGCGCACTCCTCCCTAGGGCCATCACTGGCACACGTTGAGGGCCGGGCCCCCTGCAGCCCGCACTGCCACTGCAGCGGAGGCCATGGGCACACCGGGAGGTGTGTCGACTGGGCGTCAGGCGCGCACGGAGCAGAGGAGGGACGTGCTCTAGTCGACGTATACGGTCCACTTCCAGCACGAGCGATCTTCATCCCAGACGTACCGGCCGCCCAGGCTTTCGATGTACACCGAGTGCTCATCCGCGACCTCGGTGGTCATGCCTTCTGTCTCTGAGCCCGAGTCTTCGTGGACTAGCCACCTCCACGTGCCGTGCCACTGGCGCATCTTGAACTGCACCGTGCCATCGAGCAGCACGCGCCACGGCTCTGGGCGGGCCGTCCGGCGCACCCACCCTGGTCTGGCAGCTCGATCCGCCGCCAAGGCGGCATCAATGGCGCGTTGCTCCCGCCGCTGGCGCTGGCGGCGCCGCTCCTTCCGCCTTGCCGTGGTGCCTGTCTCGGCTGTAGGCGGACAGTCGACGTCATCATGGGGCGGCGCCATCGCGCAGCCGACGGCGAAGGAAGCAAGTTGACTGCGGCGGTTGCACGTCTCTGATGCGCGGCAAGTTTGTTCATACACAAATGCGGCGATTCCAAGTAACTTGAACAAGTTACCAACAACATGCCTGTTAACAGAATATGTAACAGAAGTGCCAAACCGCGAGTTTCTCGCCCCCAATGAACACACCAGTGAGGGAGGGCGAGACGATCGGAGGGAGGGGTCCCGTACCATGCGGAATCGATCGACCCTATCCAGTGCTCAAATGCTAGCGGCGCGCGAGCGAGCTCGGCCCGCCTGCTCTCCTCGGCAGCGTCGGTCGCCTTGGCACAGATGGCGGCCGCGGCAGCCGCGTGCAGCGGCGCGCGAGCGCGCTCGGCCTGGTGCTATCTTCGGCAGCTGATGCCGCCTTGGCAGCCACTGCCGCGGCAGCCTTGGCGTTCAACGCCGCAAAGATTTGTGCCGGCGAAGGCCGGGGACGAAACTCAGCCGGTCGCTGCCCGTTGGAGGATGAAGACGCAGCGCTACGAGCTGGCACGCTCGTGCCAAAGGCAAAGTTGCTCGTGCGATGTGCCGCCGCTTCCCTCAAGTGACGATTGTACTGTTGCTTCGATACACCGAGCGGAAAGAGCATGCCGCACGAGTCTTTGGCGCACGTGTAGCCGACGGCCTTAGCAACCTTGGACCCGTCCGAACTGCGCACGCGGGTGCTCTTCTCAATGAGCCCTGCCCTAGAGGAAATTTTTCACAATATCGCAACCGCGATACCGCGCGATATTTGGCGATAAAATGCGATAAATGGCGGTGTTGTGCGATGCTCGCGATCACGCGAGCCCTTCACAGCACGCCTCAGCGACGCGCGTGAAGCGTTACAAAGGGACGGGCGCCGTGCGCTTCGTCCTGGCGCTTCGCTCGCTCCGCTCGCGTTGCGCAGCTGGATCTGGCTGGCTACACACCTCGCGGCTTGCACATGAGCAGCGACAGCAGCAACCACGGCAATAGTCAGAAGAAGAAGAAGCGGTCCCGGCACAAGTGCACGGCGACAGCACTGCCGCCCGCAGAACCGTCGCCCACACCACAGCCGGCGCCGTGGCGGTCCACACAGTTCCAACTCGTCGACGGCGTGAACCGCTACCGTGCTGGACAACAGGAGGTCGACGGCACTATCATGCTATATGGGGCCGTCGGCGGCCACATGTGCAGCTTTGCCCAGCTGACCGACTACTCCCGAGGGCTCGAGGTGGGACGACGCAAGGCCCCGCGAGAGCGCTTCGCCTGCGGCGCGCCTGCCCGGCCATGGACCAGGCTTCACCGCTGCTTGCGGACGGTTGATCGCATCGCCTACCGCATCGCGAATGACCAGTGCTGCGACCACTTGAGCTTGCACTGCCTGCCTGCTGACCCGGTGCAAAGAATCAGCGTCTCGCTCTCTTCGGCGCATTGATTGTGCATGATTGCTCAAGTAGCTCGAATTGGCATCCACCGCAATGCAAACATGACTGGAGAGCATATGCAACACGGACGCAGGCTTGCCGTTGGCGACGTCGGTTATCAGAGGGGTCAAGTCATAGTGACGCGCTCGAGGGGTTGCTGCATTGACGCAAACAGCAAAAGCAGCGCAGCGGAGACCTTCTCATGAGTGGCGGTTCGCACCATGCGGCAGTGGGGACATCAGGTGCGCGAATTTAAGCGCCATTTTCGATTCCGTGGTTTTGGCACTGTCTACCAACTTTGGTACAAATCGACTTGGTTTGGGCACAGTCGCACAGACGAGCCCTGCGCGGGGCTGCGCATGCAGCAATATTGCGCGATATTGCGCGATATTGCGCGATATTGCGCGATATTGCGCGATATTAGGCGATATTAGGCGATATTAGGCGATATTAGGCGATCATTCGCGATACACCGAAAATTCCCTCTAGAGCAGGGATTCAATGAGCAGCTTGTCATGCACGGCCTTCTGCAGCCAAGGCTCCATCGCGGAGGTCGGCTCGGGTGCCCGCCGCAACCGTTTCATCTCGCCAACCAGCTCTAACCCGGGGTGCACTGCACTAACCCGGCCCTAACCCACCCCTAACCCGGCGCAAACCCAGCTGACGTATGCCCCCCAGCCGCACGGGTTAGCGCTG